TTTACGACTGCCTCCTGGTCGCTCATGTGAACGTGGTGGCTAGGTCAGGTCTGCTGGTCAATCCGCAGTTGGTAAGTGATCGTTGTTTTGTACGATACCGTAGTATTCTTTGTCGTAGTCCCCCTCCGTGCAACCCCCCCCCTCCCCCAAAAAGAAAAGAAAAATACCGCCGGGGTACCAAAAATACATTGTAGTAGGCCCGGATGACCATAGTTTTTTTCGTACCCCCCCACCCCTGTTTCTTGTGCGAGCCCCAACGGGATGTTCTTCATTGACGTCAAAATTGTCCTACCGATAGGGGCATTCACACACAAACCCAGGCATTCCATTATGGGAGAATTTTCGTGTGTGCGGTTGCCGATTTGTCGTGTAATAGTAGGTGGTTTGCTGTTGGTGTTGCTTCTAGGGTGCTATGGCAGGTGCATCACAGCAGAGAAGAGACAATACCGCGGGTACTATTCGCCCCGTGGCATTTTTTTTTTATCGTTCTTCTACCGTTGTCTCAGTGTTTTGTTCCAACAGGATATTTAGGTATGTTTCCATATGGCTTGGTTTACAGCTTCACCCCTCTTATAGTCAAAACCGGTTTACCAACACCTTGGATCTTGCCGAGTGTGTTTTTCACATCTTAGATCCGCACCGTTCAACCATAGCGACGGCACCAACACAACAGAAGCACCTGTAACCCACTGGGCTCACTTGCAGACTTGCAGCGCTGAACTTGATCGCGCGTGTGTCTCTTGCCACCTCTCCCCACCGTCCGTGTTCGCGTACTTGCACCCCCCGAAACCCAGGTGCCCATGATGCAAGGGCAGCCTCCCGTTCCGTCGGACAAGGACGCGGCGAACAAGGCCCTACGCGGATCTGTGGGTAAATGTACTTCTACGTAGATGGCTCACTTGCTGACCCACTTGTGTGCTGACCCTATTTGCATGTAGTTTGCGACACCAATGCTCCTCCACGCGGTCCGCGATATGGATTTTCTGCGTGTGTCCGAGATCGGCATGCACGAGTCGGCGGCGTGCAGGGCCACCAGGCAGATGCGGTCTTGGTCGAGGCTGATCAACGGGGGATTCCCTGACCGTCGAGCGCGAGCCTTCCAGGAGAGATGAACATTTTGCTGATGTTGTGTTGCGATGAAATAATAAATACTCTTACTTGTGTTGTCTTATTTTAGTCCTCCCACCATAAAGAATTAGCTGCCTGCTCCCGTACGTACATGTAGTCGACGCACCGATACTTTAGACCAACCTTATTTCTAGCTTGAGCAAAGCCCAGGGCATTGTCCATATCTAAGTGTTCACACTTCTTTGTGGCTTTCAGACGTTCCTCGCCAGCGTCTTGCCTGTCGCCCTATCCGACGACCCGTGTACTTATGTTTTACTTTGCCAGCATGTGGTGCCAGCTGTTCCATTATATCACGGGATCCCGCCGCCACGGGCACGCTCTCCGGACGCTCTCCCACTGGGATTACGACAACCCCAAGATCGTCAAGTTCCTGTGCCCGTACGCCGTCACCTCAGGTGCAACAAAACGTTAGTTGCTCACAGCTCTCAACAACATTCCCATCGACGTCGATGGTTGATAGCGCGCGTTGCGGGCGTCTGTCCCTTCCACTTGCTAAGTTAGGCCAATATCGATACGGAAAAAAGGTGGACCACAAAACACGCAGAAAGTTAATGCACGATTTCCTCCACTCGCCATACCTCGCTAAAGATATGTACAGGTTCGTCAACACTGTGCGTGCGATGCCTTACACACCACATGTATTCCTGCCCCATCAAAATGGTCCCATCCGACTTTCCTCTCGGTCTTGTAAATTTCTCTGCAGAGGGCGCTGCCGGAGCATCGTCCGACACGGAGGGCCGCCTCGTGGTCGCAGAGACCCTCCCCCGGGGCGACAGCATCGAGCTGGATGGCGAGGAGCTCGAGGACTTCCTTGCCGACATGAACTGAGCTCAGGTTCTCCCACGCCGTCCTCGCCTTCGGCTTTTGGTGGGGATGGACCTGCCTCCCTGGGTCGCCTTTTAGGACGACGAACCTCGCACTTGTTTTTTTTTTTCTCAAGATTTCTGTCTGCCCTCTACACACGGTCCTGCATATGGAGATTCGCGACACGTGTGATGGGTTAGAATAAGTTGTGTTGGTGTGCTCTTGGCATGATTCGTCCCAAGATGTCCTATACCTCGCGTCTTGGCGTCTTAGGTTCTTAGCGGGGGTCACGAGCTGTTCGCAAAGTGAAGTTTGGACTTGTTCTGTCGCCCTTTCACATACACAGAGGGGGGCTCCGGAGGTCCACTAGTCTGTAGGCTTCGTAGAGCATGCTATATTGGCTTGTTGTCGCATCGGCTTTTTCTGCTGAAATGCGTGAGGATCCGTCTTTCGTTGTGTGGAAAGTATTCGGCTTGTCTCGTATACTCTTTGGGTATCCTGCACTCATGGTGTGCACCACGAGGTTGTTCGCTTATCCGAGTGATAACGGGGGGCGGGTTGCGGTGTGGATGGGAGCTTGACTGCGTGTTTTGCTCTGACCTTGTCAGATCATGTGTTCAAGGGGTTGCATCGTATCTTGGGGCAAAAAATGATCCTCGCATAGGATTCGTTGTTGTTGGGATATAGGTTTTCATGGCTGGGTCTCTCGCTAAGCTGTAAGCGGGCTGAGAGAGACTTTCTATTTTGGTCTGTCGCGCGTGCGTTTTTTTTTTCGTTTTTTTTCTCAAGGAAGTCTTGTGCAGGTCAGAGAAATGCGTGCGTTGGCACGGGTGTTGTTGGTGTGGAGAGAACTCACAGCCGGTGTGGCAGGTTGTAGTTGAGCACTACAGCCGACATCTTGGAATTGGGACCAAGTCCGCGTAGAGCGTGTTTTTTTGGGGGGGGGTACCAAGTGATTCTCTGCTTCGCCTTCAAAAAACGACAGTAGTCTAGCTGAATGCGTCGCGCGAAATGATCTTGTCCAGTGTTGTTGATGGCGATGTATTTCTCCTCTTTTGTCGCACAGAAGCCCCCGCCGGTTGGGTTTCTTCATGTATTGTGAGAGTCAACATGTACCGAGCCGGAGTCCGGGCTACAGCTTTGTGGGGCTGCTTGCCCGAACTTTAGGATTGTGGACGATGCTTGAAGTCACGAGGAGAAACATGATGAATGAACAAACCCCGAATACGAAACAAATCGAGAAACTGAATGCTCATATAGCTAAATGCTCAGTGAAGCCTCGGCTTAACCCTGCGCAGAAGTTATCATTGCCAGGCCCCCCCCTGGCACGGTACCCCCTTGAGGAACCTCTCGGGTCTGTCCCGAGGGTTGTGACCATGCGACGAGGGTAATAGGGCATACCCTTAATGTTGTTTTTGCCAGGGCGGGACCATAAATTTCGTCCGCCATTCTATGTCACCACCCTGCCAAGGTCGAAGTAGCCCACCCTGCACATGGAGCAAGATTGTCACATGGTAACCATGTGTCTCGTCCGCCATTTTTTGTCACCACCCTGCCAAGGTCGAAGTAGCCCACCCTGCCCATGGAGCAAAGTGGCTACGTGTGTTACCCCGGGTACCAAATCGATAGAGAATGCAAGCCTACCTGCCATTCTCTCAGCGCTGAAAGCGACATTTTGGCTACACGTACGTACAAGAAGACTCCTGCATTCTGAGAACAAAGAATCGTGCGAAGGAATAGTCTATACTGCTGCAACCCAACCTTCCTTGATCGATTGGCTCTAATATTGTTGCTATTGTTGTTGGTGTCTTCAAACTAAACTCGTGTCAGTTGTAATCCCAAAATCTAGCGAAGACGCGGTCCGTGGTCACAAAATTGCTTTTGGCTACATATAACAAACAGGTACAAACCCAACCTTTCTTGATCGATTGGCCATACAAGTACGAAGTAGACTACTTGTTACAGTGAGAATCGAGGGAACCAGTTGTCCTGCGGGACGTGTGCTGTTGCCCATTCCCAGCGTACCCTCCGCACCACACGGTAGAAAATAAAAAACATTGCAAGAATCAGGTGCTGTAGCATAGTACAGCAGTCAGTGTGCCTGATGCGAGCGCTACGTACACCCGGTGCACGATGAGCGATGGGAATATCGGTAGCAATACCACAGTCGTGTGTGATGATTTCCTGTAGGCAGGGACAGCTGGTGGCTTCGAGAACTGTAAAAAATTCACTTATAAGTCTGCTTGTTTTATGGATGGTCGCAACATATGCGCCTCCACCGGCACTACATTGTATGGCGTCCTACCACCATCAATTCACTGAAGTCTAGTCTACTTGGTCTCTGCGTGGGTCGCCACATGTGCCGGTTTCGACCGAACTATGGTGTCCTACCACAAAAAATAACATGCATGCTCTTCGCCTGGAAGAAATGCGTGAACTTACTACACACCAACACCCGGACGCAGAGCAGCAGGTGCCACGACTTCATACTACCGGTCCTGCTACTGCTGGTTGAAGACCACCGATTTGGTTTGGAACGTGCTGACAGCAACCAAGCGTGACGGAGGTGTACTGGAGAATTCAACAGCCGCAATCGTCTCCAACACGGTAACACAATTTTTGCGCGCTCGTCCTAAGAGTTGTAGACCTTCCGCTAAGCAGAGCCTGCCCATGCCCGCCTGAATGAAAGAAGATCAAGCGACGAGAATACGCCAGGAAGATGATAGATAATTTACCAAAGGGACGGCAGAACCGGCGTCCGAAACAAACGTATAGGGAAAGCAAAAATTCTAACGAAACCCATCTTCACAGCAGCAGCAGCAGCAGCAAGTCGACAATCTTCGCTTGACGAAAACATCCCCTTGTCGCCAAGCATATGCGGCCGTCCTCGACTCCATGTACGATCTACTCGGCACCACACGAGACGCCACACACTAAAAAAACAACAACGACACACAACACACAACAATACAATCAACCTCGCAACACCAGATCTCGTTCATTATTGGGACTATGCGGACAACCCAACCCAACGGCTACATGCACGACATCTACACCGACCAACTCTTCGCACATCACCAAAAAAAGACAAAAAAAAAAAAGCTCCCGTGTGACCATCCTCTTTTTGTGGCCCCGGTTGATACACCAAGCAGTGGTACCACACCGAAAGGCGCATAGCCTGGCGTTCGAACAGATGTGAGGCGAACATGCAACACTGCGAAACCCCCAGCACTCCTGCCACGACCGAATGATGTCTGCAGAGCCTTCCATCGCCAAAAAAAAAATCCTCCCGAACCGCGTCATTCATATCCCTGTCCCCGTCGCCAGACAAGCAGGTTCCGAATCGAAACCTCCTGAGAACCGTATCTATGTCTCACAGGCACACATCTCGTCTTCTTGGGGCATGTTTAGGTGTGGGACCGAACCAACCTACCGCAGAACCGGACCTACCAAACGTTGAGACAACCGCGCTATCACACCACCGCGAGTACTGCTGTCATAATGATGATGTTCACCCGTAATGACGTTTCCGGATGCTAGGCATGGCCTCTCTCCGAACATGTACATGTCACTTGGCACGACACGACGCAAGCACGATCCATCAGATATCCTTGAGATCGTCGTCTGCCACAACCTTGATCAAATACTCCGCTGGGAGTGACTTCTCCAACGCCTCCGAGGCCGCCACGACATCTTCCTGGTTGTCCCCTTCCAGTGTAAAGACCTGAGGTTCGTCATATTCGGATAGGTCGGAGAACAAGTGGACATTGCAATAGGTCAACATGGAGCAAGTGGACATTGCAATAGGTCAACATGGAGCAAGCGACAAGCTGCGATACGTGGCAATCAGGCATCGCTTTGTGATAACCGGATTGGTTGATGACAATGGCGTAGGTCATCAGCTGTAGTGGGCGGGACCACCTACCGTGTACCAAATCAATCCCACGAGCTTGCAGGGCATATGCTCGTATCTGCCACAACATTCTCTTCTCTCACAGGTTGGTGTAGTCGAAAACCGCACAACGCTTGTCTGCCACCGCCCTACTACACCATGCCACCTTCGCTGGAGAAAAAAATCTCTACCATACACGTTTGTCTGATGTGCCAGCAGTCTGCTGTGTAGGCAACCGAGTCCTCGAAGAGAGAGTATCAATGCAGGCTCATCGCATGTAGCAAAATCCTTTCATTCGGACAACAAAGTCACGAAGGGGCTGCACATTCCGGCTTTTAAAATATCACACCTATCGACCTTTCCATATCGATTCCGTGCCCTCTACGGGAAAAAAATGTTCTGAAAAAAGAAAAAATCATGTCCTTCCAGAGATGGGAAATTGACCAAAGAAAAGTGAACCAGTTCAAAAGCCCCCCCCTCGAGTTTCCTCTGGCGCCCGGGTATCTTTATCCCCCCTTCTTTAGATCTTGAGTTTCCTGTCTTTCTCCGCAGAGATTATTTCATTCCCTAGCCTTGTCCGAGACGTGTCGTGGGGATCACGGCCATTTATTTCTTGGGCAAAGGAAAATTAGCGGTGGCGATGAGGGCCAACCGAAAATACAACGTCCCGAAGGCATGCTGCATGCTGCACTCGTCCCACGAGGGGAGGACACAGAGCTTTCAGCGGGTTGCACGTACGAGCATGAGAAGAAGACACCAGTGAAGATGGCTCTTGCAGCTAAATAGTCACGCATACCGTCTTGAAGGCAGGGTTGGAGTAATACGGGTAGCTGCCGAAGGTAACGTTCGGGTGTGCCTCTACGGCTTGGTTGAGATGCTCCACCACCAAAATCTCGTCCGCGGAGAGAACAATCTTTCGGACGTGCTGAGGGGAACGAATGCAATACAAGACAGAGAGAACGAGAGAGAGGGACAGAGACAGAGAGAGAACAACAACGGAGGTACATTCGCGGAATGCAACAGGGCGTCGTCAGTCAAGCGGCAGGACGTAGTAGGCACTCTGTGGAAACCACAAAGACCATTCGGATACATGTCCAAACGGTCCCTGCACCTGTATATTTCCACACATGAGTGGCACGCGGGTGTCAAACGACGTAAAGACGACACGGCGTATGTTGAGTCTGCACGCACGGTGTGCCTCCGTTTTATGTTTCGACTGAAGCCTCGCCGAGTGAGAGGTCACCGCTAAACGATTCTCGCAATCGCGCCAAAGGGGGAACAAATTCGGCAGATCAGCAACCAATGAACGCAGTGATGTCTTGGTGCACAAGTCAAGGATAAACCTGAACCATGCAATTGTACCAATATCCTGACGACAACACGCTGCCATGTTTCTGTCTTCACGGAGGGGCGTGAGTCCAGGAAACGGAGGGCCATGACTGACGTGCATGCATCCCATAAGGCCTACCGCACCGCTAACCGCCTTCCGTGCAGCATGATCGGCACGGCTCAAATAATCTCCCCCTCCCCCACTCAGTGTTTGCGATCGAGGTTGGGTTTTCGTCGCTTGGCAACGACATTGAAAACAAGCCGATAGTTTCGTGAGTTCAACCACCAGGCTACCGTGTTCTGTTTTTCCTTTGTGTTTTATTGCGGTAACATTAACCGTGGTCGAGTAAAATACGCTGTGCGGGGTCGAGAACCCTCACTCCGCGCAGAGGGCATGGTCGCACCACGTTATGTTAAAATGGCAAAACACCCTCGAGGCAGCCGTGCTTACAACTGACTGTCTCTGGAAGTGGAAGCACCAGACAATGCATGAAGACATTCGCAGCTGTCATCCGTTGCATGGAAGTCAGCACAAGATGCCGCACACCCTGATAGCAGGATGTAGCGCACCCTTCATGCGACTCGCCGAATACCTCACGGCACTTTGCGCTTGGTGTTGTGAGAGCCTGGTCCGGTGAGAATCCGGCGTGCTCCGTCCCGGCTTTGTAGGGATGCGAGGTCAACGGCCAAACGACTGCGGCATGCACAACTATGAGTACACCCCCCACTCCGCCACTCACCATGGTCTAACGACTACGGCATGCACGACTTTGAGTACACCCCCCTCCGCCACTCACCATCGGGCGCGAATCCAAGAAGTGATCGGCGATAACAGTCATCTTGCCCTGGAAGAACTCCGGCACCCCAGGGAGAATGAAGACGTTCTCCGTCTGAAGGATGGGCCACGCGGCTTCCCCCGCTACCGGCGCAACCCTCAGTTTCGACAGCTCAGGCAGCATCGCCATCTTGGACACGTGTTGCGAGGCAGGATTGGGTGGGTGGATGAAATGGGTGTATGAGCCAGCTTTTCAAACCTCAGGCAGCATCTTCACCACCTAAAGTGTTGTATGTATGATAAAAGCAACTTCGGGCAGGATTGAGGACAAAAACAAGCACGGCAACGGTCATGCCGCACAGACCGCTCTCGTTCTCGATCTCCCACACAATGTGTCAAGATGACACACCATTTCCTCGTAACTAGTTTTTCAATGCCATCGAGGCGTTTCGTGTCGCTCAGCACGGGCGCCACAAAAGCAGTTGGCACCGCACAGGCAGAGCGATTTTTGCCCCATAAGTACTGCGATAAATGCATGCATTGGACAGTTACGGCAGCAACGCGAAGGAGGGGGTGGTGGACACAACAGTGGTCACCCCGTTACCCGCACGATGTCAATCGGGTCCATGAACTTAAGGACCAAATTCAATCGCCCAAGTACAATCCGGTTCAGGAGCCCCGCCTTTCGCCGCAGTACATAGCATGCCGCGGAAGCCCGCCTTGGACCCTCACGAACTCTGTTCGGCTACATGCAGAGAGCACGGCGACCCCCGTACGACAGAAAAATTAAGACTGACCACAGAAGCATGCGTTCTACCTCGATCCAGCTGCGGAAGCACGAGACAAAAAAAACACGGAAACGAATCCGTTGCAAGCTGTACAAATGTCTCTCTCGCCCACCTTCATCTGGGCTTCCGTGAGCTGGCTGGCCCTCTCCACCCCAACAAGGTCCAAGAGCTTCTCCACCATTTCCTTCGCCGAAGAAAAGCGCACGATAGGAAACACACACGCAAGAAAATGTGGATGAGGGGAAAATGAAGAACGACTGGCATGCCATACAGCTGAAAAGACGGATACCACGACAGACAGCAGTGGGTGGGTAGGCCCTCCAAGACACCAGCACCAAAAGGAAGTCGGCAACATCCCACTTTGGAACCCACTGCCCCGCATAAAATCTCTGTTGCTGGTTCAGCCATCTCGACCTAGGAGTATCCTTGTGATCCCGTGTGGTTAGCGCCTCCGCCGCGGCCAAGCTGCGGCTGCCTTGGGCTATAGCACGTGCCTGCAGCACGGTAGGACCTCTGTCCGATGCACGCAAAGCAAACCTTGTCAACTGCTGAGTACCCCGAGCCAGTCTTCAAACGTTGGCTGCACCTCTTCGCGCGTTCAGCAAACACGACCGACTGACCAAGGCATGCCCGACAGTTTCAAACTGTAAAATATCCTGAGAAACGAATGTATGGGCCCGTGGCATGCCATGGGCCGAAAGATACATCCGGCAAGTGCGTCGTTTTGGCGAGGTCGGGGGCAGATCACTACATGCCACCATTCCAAACCATTTGTCTCATCTCCATCGGTCGAAGCCTCCGCAATCCCTGTGGTGGAAACCTCGATGCAGCTCGCCCTTACCCCTGGAGGCCTCTGTCGGCGTCTACGCGTCTACACCGATACCGCATGGAACTACCGCCTTTCCAACAACGCGTTTGGATAGGCCTTCTCAAACTGCTGTACGCCGTCGTAAGGTAATCTACGATGACAGCAGCATCAGAACACACACCTTGTTCTCGCGGACGGCCTGATTGAGAGCCCTCGCCACCGAGTAGATGGTGATGTCATCGTGGGTTGGCCCGATCCCGCCGCTGGTGATCACAACGTCAAACTCCTGAACCTGTCGCCGCACCTAAAAGAAGGAAGAAGGGTCGAGGCAACCAGTATGCAGCGGTAACAATGAGCGATCAAAGACGTTGTGTGCTTCTTTCTTTGTTGGTGTTGGCGTGGTCGATGATCATCGAGATCGCAGTGCCGTAACGGCCTCGCTAAGGGTTGGTGGTTCGGTCCAGGTCGATAGGACTTGGTCCCGGCCGCGGTGGCAGGAAAGCAGGCCCAGCTAAGCTCACCTCGTCACAGATGGCCTCTTCATCGTCCTTGATAACCGCTACGCGACCCACAGGAATGCCCTGCCGGCAGCATCAACAGACCGACAGACAGACAGACAAGTCAGAGAGCCACAAGACTCAGCCCCGGAGTAGCCGTGGGCGCTGCGTGTTCACAAACGTTTGCCTTTCGTCCTGGAAAACTACCGGCTAAAAAGAGACAAAGGGAGACGAAGAAAAGAGGTACAATCAAGAAAGGGAACAGCTCAAAACATTCGGCGCGTGCTACTGTGCAGAGCAAGCATTGCCACGCCCTGGGCAAACAACGGAGAGGGAGGAACGCAGAAACCTCCGAAAAGGGGGGCAGCGTGTGTTGCAAACATCTAGTCTAGTCTTGCGCGTTGTCGGTCTCTGCGTAAAGCGACACAATCAAGTAACTCTGGTTTCGTTCGGCCTCGAGGGCCTACTGCGGGCGGACATGCAGGCCCATGCTTCATCACGAGCCGCTTCACGGTGATGATATTCATGGCCCCATATGCGCAGCTTGGCGTCATGAAAAGTTACCCTACATCGTAGCCGTCACTAATGTGAAGCCACGTACCCAAGATGCCAGAAGGCCAATCCCATCGGTTCACAACGCAGGGTTTGCAGCAGCTGCGCTCAGGCCTACCCACGCCACGCCGCGTTAATGGCGTGCCGCTCTTCTCGTACGCGAGGGCCAAATATTGCCAAGGTTCGAGCGGCATGACAACAGCTGCAGCACACGAACAAAGTCGAAAAAAGCCTCGTCGAACACCACGGGCGCTCCCGCACCTTCTCCCACAGTTTCTTGGTGGCGAATGCGGTATTCAAGTCCTGGCACTTCCCCTTTAGCACCTCATCGCCGATAACCACAAGACCTGCCGATCGAGCTTGCCGCACTTTTCTTCTCTTGGTGTCCAGGTCTCTGCAGTGCACCAACACAGCGCACACAAATCGCAAAAAGGGCAAGGCTTTGAGGGGCCCACACCGCCGGAGGAACATCGCGACAAACAAAAAGTCCGGCTGATCGATCCATTCCAAAACTCGACACGCTGACGTTCCCTCTTTGTTGCTCTCCAAGCGTATGCCTATGAACGGCTCACGCACAACTCGGGCACCACGCACACGTAAGAACTCCCCCGCGACCCCCTGTTCGGGCGCCCTTCACTCAACCACCACCACCACGATTCGGCATGCATGGTACACGCCTTGCTTAACATCAAAATGAGCAGGAGGGAAATTCGAAAGCCGTCCTCCCTCATTCTTAGCACACGCGCTCCTGAGTATCCTGAGTATCTTAACGCTCGTCCGCGACCCCGCCACCTATTATCCAAGGTCCGCATCATCGCTACTCTATTACTGCCGTGACATTTACTTTCCCGACCAATGGCATATCCTCCTGCCAACGCCACGCTTCGTAGACTTCGTCCCTACCACGATGCTTTATTGGTGATATCAATCGTAGACCGCCGTCTTTCACCGTGCATTTCAACTGCAGACTTGAGGGTTAGGTTCAGGGTCACCGACACAAGTACAACATTCACCTCAACTCGCACGCGAGACTGTCAGTCTTCCGTTCGCCTCTCCCAGCTCTTTCCAGCGACCAATCCGAGAGCATGTACGCAGGCAGATACTCCTCCTCTATCCCCTCCTCGCCTCCATCATCGGAAACCGCAGCCGAACTCGCGCGTTTTCTCAAGTAGGGGTTGGGGAAAGTGTTGTCCAGGTTGCCTGCGGAGGGCGGCAACGATGGAGAAGGTGGCATGGGCGACTCCGTCTGTTCAGAACGAGACTTACGGGTGCAGAACTTTCCGCACAAAGCACGAAAAAAATATCAAGTACAAAATACGCAACAGTTTCAATAGCGCCGATTGGCGGCTGTTGAGCTCATCAGTGCTTGTGGGAGATGCCCACTATTGTTGTGCACACACGGATACTTCAGCCTGTGCCGAGCAATCCCCGAAGCATTCCACAGCAGTGCAGTCAATACTCGAAAGAACCTCGACCAAAACCCCGCACCATTGCTGTTGCCTCTCCTACAACTTGCACAGCACTGCCAGTAGTAAAAGAGAAACTCCTAAATTGTTGGGTGCCATGGTCTCGACCTACTTTTTCGCGAAACACCAACACGGCAACCTCAGCAACAACAGAAATAGCAACAGCAATAGCAACAGCGATAGCACCCTCACGGATTTCACAGATATGATGATACGGCGACGGCCGCTAGCAAGACGGGAACTTGAAGACAAAGCGCTCCGTGTAAGCATACACACACCACGACAACTATCACTGATACCGATCGGGTCCCAATTAAATTGATTGAAAAAACCGATACACCCCGAATTTCGTCTCGTGGCCGTGTGCCGTTGGCCCTCACCTAGAGACGTGTATCCCTCGTCGTAGAGCGAGCAGTACGGTAGCTCGAAATCCCGCAGGAAGCCCCAGACCTGTCCGTAGTTCCAGTCGATCACCGGGTTCACTCGCATGAACGGAGGCATCCAGTCGCTGGAAGGGAGACGCGGCGGGACGAGAAACCAAAGGGAAGCAAGCACGTCAAAAGGCAAATCAAATGGGGTCGACTTTCGACACACGCCAATAGCGAGCGCGTTCAGTTGGCCTGAGCTGCCTGGCATGTACCGTGGTGTACGTAGTCTAGCGCGTGAAAGTGTTGGATGGAATGGCGACGAAGCGGGAACAAGTCTGAGGGTATGGTAGACCATAACGTGCCCATCACCAGACTGTCCCGCACTATTGAATGAATGAGGAGGGATTCAGTCTCCGCAAAGGAAGCGGCGGAGAACAAGGCGAGAACCACCATGGAGGAGGCGAGACCAGCTGGAGGAATACAACGCTAACACTAACAATGGGAGCAAAATACTAATACAAAAAAAGAAACAGGTAGAACGGCACGAAAGTTGTCAACTCTGACCTAAAACAACCACACAAAGACACCTTAAGCCTGTGTTAGGAATGTTCGTCTCGCATTCTAGGCATTCTAGGGATAGCATCAATTTCGAGTGAGCATGCAAGGCCTTGAAACCGCATCGGGGGCCGATGAGAAGAAGCGCTATAATAGCATCTCATCTCGCTGCTATAGCCTCCCAAGTCTCTCCCTTTTCTCACAGGCAGTACCTCTGTTGCTGTCCGACGAACAGCAGTTCGCGGGATACCTCTCCCGCATGCTTACGAGGGGGATACGGGTGTAGTGCCGCGTACGGTGCTTCGGAAAACGGAGCGCAAGGCAGGCAGCTACCAAAAGGCCAACAAGCTACGATGCCCAGACCTAGAGCATGAACACAACAATAACAGTAGAAGCAGCAGCATAAGTGCCAAAACCACCAACGCAAACCTGCTGGGCGTAAAGCTCGTCTGTACCCCGCAGTTGGGGTCCCCCTTACGGGTGCCCAGGACGAAGCCGTAGCACTTCTCGCTTCCCCCCTCTGCCATGCGCTGCTTCAGACCCTCCACAAATCCCGTCTTGTACCTGGACAGCTCCAGGTCAAACCGCTTCACGCTGTCGGCTACCAGCGCCTCTACCTCTGAACCGCGATTTTACGAAAATGCGTACATTTCAGCGCAATACGTTCAGCGTGGCAAGCGGAAAACCTCATGCCATCCTCTGGCAGCGAGCGAGCGAGCGAGCAGCGTGTGGGCCACAGCAGTTGGTGGGTGGGTGCTCAGGGAATCTGGGGGACCCTGACGAGGCTGTCGCTTCCAGAATCCAGAATGCTTCAGAATAGCTCGACCTCTACGGCTGCTGCGCGAGCGATAGCATAGCATTGCCTCCGCTGCTGATTCCGCGGAGGTGCTTCCTTGTCTCTGGCTGTCCTCAGGGCTAAGGTACTAGGGTGGTTTTCCTTGTTCTTACCGCTAATCTCCTAATCTCAGCTGCTGACTCGGCTGCTATGGTACAAACGATGGTTCGCACGTGACAGTTCGAATTCAGAGACACGATCGCTTTCGAGGCTCTTGTCCAGTCTTTCAGCCCTGCCCAGGATCAACAGTAGTACCGGCACCACCGGACACAGACCAGCTTGGTGTCGTTTACGGTGGATGGCACGGTGGATGATTCAACCGGTTCCCGACAGCGAACGACCTTCACGTATCAAAAATAGGGTTAACAAGGGCGAAAAAACAAAATGGAGCCGAACAGCTATTCACGTCCAATTTACATATGCGGCCGCCCTCACCCGGGAACTCGCGGTCATTCTCGAAGTAGATCAGCTTCGTCCTGAAGGCTTCCCCTTGCTGCACGCAGTAGTTCGCCACGGCCGCCCTGCGCTTCAGTAGCGACGCAACCGGACAAGCATGTGCGCGAGCGCGATTGGTTATCGTCACCGCCTCCTGCACACGAAAACGCTCCGCCACCCCAGGAATATGAACCGTCACAAGAACCGGGTTCACAGGATACCATCTCAAGGTCTACCAAGTAAATGTTAACGTCCCTCGGCTGGGGTGCTCTCAGACCTGAGCAACTACTGCTGTCCGCGGAAAACTGCTTCGGGGATGCCGACAAAACTCAAGGCGTCCGGTCCAAGGACCTCTTGTTGGTCGGTATTTTCGCCGAACACCGAAACTCATGTTCGGTCACAGCAGCATCCGCAGCGTTATTCTATTAGTAAACATATTGGAAAAAGCATGCAATGGGGAAGTTGCGTTGGGGATAGGGAGAGGGTCTGCGTACCCCTCCCTGTTCTAGTTCCTCATTAACTTTTATGTCCCGCGAAGGCCGTCCTTCGGTCAAGACCTTGACCACAAATCCACAACAACAACGACAGCGCACCTGTGCAGGTGCATAATGACAACGGCATCCTTTCCACCGTTGTAGCTGCCGATCAGCTGGTCCGGTCCGTACAGCCGCAAGCCATCGTTAAGCACCTGACACGAACGGCCAACCCCGAAGACGTGGAATAGTTCTAGTTCGCAGAGAACAGCAGCAGCAGCGCTGTACGGTGCGTGTGCCTCCTCGGCGTGTGCGTGAATGACAAATCTTTGGATCGGTCGATACTACAGCAGTTTTCGGACGACTTCAGCAGCGCTTTGAGCGGGCAAAACGCAAAACATCGATTTGACAACCATGAGCTTCCTTCCCCAGACGACAGGATCGCGGACGAATGCGCTTCTTCAACTCTTCATCGGCTGCGCTACCGTAGCACCGAAGGCTGCACAAGATAACACACCATTCGCAATATCTCAAAGCTCGGTTGCTACTACTACTATGCCGTCGCTAATTTTACTGGAGACTACATGCTACAATAATCGAGCCTTGAAAATCGGCCCGGGAGGTGTGGAATCTAATGCAACCTACGGCATCTGGCTGTCCAATGAAACGGCGTCGCCTTCAATTCAAGTCTTGTTCATGTGCACACACGAACAATAAAAAACAAAAAGGCATTTCGGATCCACCCGTTGTGCGATACTAATCATCTCCGATAGGACTTGAGGAGGACGGACTGTAAAGCTGTAGTAGCATACTGCACTGCGTCTGCTCCTTGCTGCTGCTCTTGGCTGACCCAGGACTCCGAAAAACACCCACAGGTACGAACAAACTCCTTTGTGTGTGGTCGAAGGATGGACTGCGTTATGTACAAGCCCAACATGCCATCATGCACAACATACTGCTCCTGCCTTCACCTGTCGCCGCCCTTCCACGTCTACCTGTCCATGACACATGCTGCCAACTGATGCGGCAACACCTGGGCACAACACGGACACAGGGAGTACTCCCCATGCCCATACACCGTCAAAATTGCTTACAAACTAGAACAACCTCTTACTCCTCCCATGCCAAATACAAATGATGTAGCATGCATGAAATGATAGACCCTGTCTTTACCTGTGGTCCGCGCTGCCATACCCTCTACCTACACACGGACGAGATAGGTAACCATACCTACTGCATTTAACACACACCCACATGTCGGTGATGAAACCTCAACCACACGCATCTATCGGCGACCACGTCAGGAGGCAATGATGAGGGAATGTTCTCCCGTGCCATTTGCACATCTAACGAACGGAAATTACACAAAACGGTAAGAAAATGGTGAGACCACTCCCGTGTGTCCGTCCGCACATACTCCGAAATGTGTCTGCACACATGCATACCATGGAACCGGTCGCCCCGGTGGTCTAGATGGTAAGCTCGACACCTTCTAGAGGTCAGGTCAGGGATTCAAATCCCGGCGTAAGCGAGCTTTTCTTGCAAAGTGAGTTTTTCTCTCGCTTCCGCTCCTGGCCTAGTGGATAGCGCTAGTTCGTGTGTACACAGAGGGAAGAGTGCTGAACTCTTTTCGCATTAAAAATCGAAGACAAAGTACCGCAGGAGGGGAGGGTAGAGAGGGGCTCTTCTGTGTGACCACGGGTTGGAGTAAACGGCACTAGTGCTGTGAGCGCTGATTTGAAGTGAAGACAAAAAAAAAAAAAAGGTACATAATACGCGTACAACACTGAAAACACGTTTGAAAATTGAGGGAGTTTGCATGCCCTACGACTAAAAGGGTGCCAAACACAAAACGCCAGACTACCCAACACTAACCAACACATTTCTTCTGCACCTTCCCAACATAACATATGTGAGACACACAAGACAGCTACCAAACTGTTTTGTTGAGCCTGTTACCCACAGGGGAGGTGTCCCTACATGCTGTCAAGGAAATCGTAGACATACAGATACTTTCTGACGCTATGAATTGATTGCTAATCTGTCTCAAGACTATTTTTTTTTCTTCTTAATATGACACAACGAATCCATCTCTATCATAGAAAAGAGTCTGAGACAGATTAGGCATAGATGGATTCGTTGTGTCATATGAAGAAAAAAAGAAAAGAAAAAAGTAGACACTCTTTTCGTCGTCCTGCTCAATCTTGGCAGAACGGGTGCGGCAGCGGGTGTGTGTTGGTGTTTTGGGGCCGAAGATAACTTGAACTGCATGACGTTCAAAGGCACATGGTCTCTACGTGCTTCAGCAACCTGGCAAGTAAGGTGCATGCTTTTCGGGCGGGGGGAGGCAACTCTTGGCGATTGGTGGAAGCACATAGAACATTGGTAGCAGAGAAGCTTGTTGAACCACGTCGTGGTTTCGTCCAGCTGGTTCCGTCTTCCACAAAAAATCAGTGCCGCACATGAATGCATTCATGTGTAGTACTACTGTACACACTTGCTGGCATGCATACAGCAGCAGTCTGCAGATAGACATTGCCAAATTGCCTCTGTACCTGCATCGCCTCCTGCAGTGCCCCCTTGAGCTCGGGATCTTCACACGCCATGATGCTGTGGTACAGATCCAAGCCGTCCTGGATGGCGGCCTCGCTCACGCCGTCTGGGTTGCGCAGCTTCAATTGCTGCTGCTCCGCATTAGCGTGTTCTGCCGGTGCTGCTGTTGTCACTGTCATGAACGGGGCAGGGGCGGCAGTTGACGAAGCTCCTGGGGGGGCAAGAGAAAAGGCGGACGGGCAACGCGAGGTATTTATCATAGTGGAACGAAGAATCATAGGGTAAACCCCATGGCGCACACGTGTGACTAGACTGAGGTCATCAGCAGTGAGAGCGGAGCACACACGGGTTGCATCTCGGAGCAGTTGAACACATTCATGCTCATGTGCCGTTGCAGCCCATCTCATTTTCATATCGTCAAGCGCCCTCACAAGCATACACGCTTACTCACCGTTGGCTTCTCCACCAGCAACCACTGCCATCATCTGCACAGGAGATGTGGCTCCGCTGTTAGCCTGAGCCGCGGCCCTTGTCCTCCTGGAGAGCCGTGGTAGAAATGGCGTTGACACGAAAGCTGTGTCTCGTGCGATGCGCGAGAGAGGGTATGGTGTCGCAGAACACCCGTCGCAGGGGGCTAGCTGGGGCACAACTAACAGCCGAGCTGCCACCAAAGCTAAATACCAGGACGACGTATTGGACATTTAGGGCTATGGGCACGCAGCAGGTGCAAATGTTGTTCATTGACTGCTGCCGCAGGGCAACCGACCTCGGTGTCAAGCAGCTTGGAGGCTCCGCAAAATGCATGTGATGTCGAAACAGCAGCCCCCGACCCCCCGGAAAAAAAAACTGTCGAACTCGATGAATGTGTGCTACAAGCAGTATAATGCCGCCGCCGACGTCGACTACTGTAGCCGTGGTGGTGTTGGTGGTGTTGGTGGCGTTCAATATGAATCTGATCTATGTATGTATCCGTACTCCCGATGCAAGGGAGAGGTGGCTGTGTTTTGCCGCGGAGAAAGTAACTGTTCCGATTTCTGCCTCGAACTGGCAGGGGGCCAGTCAGTTCTCACGTCCTCGTTTTTCGCAGAGAATGCAACAAACAGCATCATCATCAGCAGTAGTACCCGCATCAGCTCCCTATATATGCATTGCCTGGTATTGTCTACACCGGTAGCCCCGACACCTGAGATGATGACCGCTGTGTGTGATGTTTGTTGTCGACGCCCCGAGGGGTCGTACAGACGCGTCAGTCAGGCGTTGTGCTACTGTATGTATTATTATTTGTGGCACAACATTTATTTATTTATTTATTTATTTATTTATCGTTGTCGCAATTGGTTGTCGAGGAACCGAATTCTTTGTTCTGAGGTTGTCTTCATCATTCGACACCTTTCCTTTTCGTCGTAGTTGTACATTTCTGGGGGCGCACCGGATGCATCAGCCGGGAAAGCAAAGAGTATAGTAGAGAGAGTTATTTTGTCCGTCAGGTAAAACAGAAGATACTACTGCTGTATGTATGTATATAGTCTATCTAGCTAGATGTTTCGGTGCATCGACATGGCGGATACAATGTGCAGTAGTAAGTACACAGGCGGCAGTGACCGAATTATTTCTGGTCGAGCAGCAGCATATCGAAGAAGAACCTCACCTCTCACTTTTCCGTAAGTAGCTCCCTTCTTCTCTTACCTACGTTCGTTCCTTATGTAAGAAGAAACCGGTACAACTTCCCCTTCATTCTTGCTTCTTTCGCCAGTTTCCGTGACCAAACAAATAAAAAAATAGAAGAACGTGTCCCTTATGCTGTCTGGGAAATCGTAGACATACAGGTACTTTCTGACGCTATGAATCCATTGCTAATCTGTCTCAGACTATGATAGAGATGGTTTCGTTGTGTCATATTAAGAAGAAAAAAAAATACAGTTGTGTCATATTAAGAAAAATAAAAAAGAACAAGAGACGAGCTCGAGAGCTCGAGATGGAGGTTCTTGTTCCGGCGGACCACCGTCTTGATTCATCACCTTACCTGCGACAGGGTACAATATTCTTTCCCAAAGTAGCTGCCGCATCCCCTTGCTGAACGGAAAACGAACACGAAAACGAACAATTGATTTCTTCGACATGACACAGCTCTTCGGCCGCATCCCACCGCTCCTTTGCCAAACGCCGCAACCCTGACTACCGCTGCGGTTGTGCTGCTGGGAGCGGCGACAACGGTGGGAAGCGTCCCCTGCGGTCAAGCCTACAGGAGGATCATCAATCATCTCGAAAGAAAGGTAGGTGTGGTACTACTGCTGTGTCCAGGATGCCTACACACCCACGGGGATCAGCGCTCATCATACTCTCATCCCCCATCGCCAGAGGGCAAAAACGTGAAGAAAACGGCAGTTGTTCCTCCATCGCCAAAATGCATGCCTCCCTCCTTGCTGTGAGACTCGAACGCACGCCGCCCAAACCGTCGGCGGAGGGTTTAGGTGTACCAAGTGACTCACACACAGGTGCATCACAGCTGGAGCGGCCAGCATTCAATTCAAACGTTGTTGAGGGGTAGCGGTTGGACGATACAGCTGTACGGAAGCAGACGGTACTGCTAGTTTCTGTGGAGCAGAATCAGCTCCACCAAACCAGTTCGTGTCAATGCGACACCGGCATAATAATTAGTTGTTGCCGTCGCTGCGCAAAAATGAACGCCTTGGCACGATCAATCTGCAGGAGGAGTCTAACTGCTGTACAATGTAACTGCTGTAGACGTGAGGCCGTAGTCTAGACATACATGCTATCCTTGTGACTCATTGCTCTATCCAAAGCTTCGTTGTCACGTATGGAGCGAAGGCAATACCCGGTCGCCCCGGTGGTCTACTAGTTGGTATCCTCGAGACCTTTAGAGGTCAGGTCAGGGGTTCGAATCCCGGCGTAAGCGAGCTTTTCTTGCAAAATGAGTTTTTCTCTCGCTTCCGCTCCTGGCCTAGTGGATAGCGCTAGTTCGTGTGTACACAGAGGGAAGAGAGTGCTGAACTCTTCTCGCATTAAAAATCGAAGGCAAAGTACCGCAGGAGGGGAGGGCAGAGAGGGGTTCTTCTGTGTGACCACGGGTTGGAGTAAACGGCACTACTAGTGCTGTGAGCGCTGATTTGAAGTGAAGACAAAAAAAAAAAAAACGTTTTTGGGACCGCTTACGCAGGATTTTACAAGTAGTAACTGTACATGCATCTAGAAAACAATGGGGAGCTAGAAAAATAATGGGGAGGGGGCACGTTGACCCGGCACTCTCACGGCGATGATGTTTTGGTCGCACTCGTCAATAAGAACGTATTTTCTACATGTAAGGGAGCCCTACTGCAAGGTGTTCGCTCTTTACTGAAAATGATTTCATGCTGAATATCCGTCGTCCACATACATGCACCGCAGATAGATGTCCGATAAAATCCAATATCGCGCGAACACCTGGCCAACAACATATCGTAAGCGCAGCGGCAGGCCTGCCCTTTCGTGCCACATGTGTAAGCTGTAGGGAGTCTCTCACGCTTCAGACCGACGAGTCTCCAGTTGGTGCCATTGCCGTGAGAGGCAGGGAGATATTTGAAAGTTTGATTGCTCCACAACCAAGCTTGTGCCAAAACCCAAACGGTGGATGCGGAAACAACATCTCGTCGAAGGCTTTTCCGTCGACGTACACCGGGCTCCTTCTGCACCCCTTTTGCAATGGAGCAAGTCATGTAGGGGGGTGCCATCTCTCGGCCTCTTGCACATGAAATACCCTCTCAAAATACCTTTTGTAGGAGATTTCTCGACAGAACGGTTCTCAACGTGAGGTGCGTTCTGCACATCCCTCACACGCGCAAACAACAGCCAAGTTTTCCAAATGAGTTATTTTACACTTTCGAGGAGACATGAATATATGAGTATATTAATTTGTATCTACGTAGTATACAGTAGTACATACCGAGTGCTTGAGTACAGCAGTAGTATTTGAATGCCCATTAGCCTCGGGCGTCAAAGCGAACATGATACGAGCCCAAATATATAACCCAGTGCGTGATCCTCCCATCGTGTTCATGGGATAAGGAACTATTGTGCCTGGCTTTGAGGAAGCTACTATTTTCGGATAAGGAACTTTGTAGGTCAAGCGCAAATAACGACGGCGACATCTCACTCCAAAATAGAAAAGCAGAAGGCAAGTCCGTACAGTAAAACAGAGGGGAGGAAAATTGAACATTGGGGAGAAAATTGAATTTTTCGACACCCTACAACATTGAAATGTCGCGCAATGGAGAAAACTATCTACTAAAGCAGAACCCCAGCTGCGTATCCTTGAATGCTGCGTTCTTCGTTGTTGCGCCCTCGCGAAAGGATTCCCGTCATCTCTCTCTTTCTGTCCGCGACGCGTCTTTTGCTGCCACCGAAAGGTTGTGCACGTACGCGGACAGACTTACCCGTTAAACGGTGACCAACGCCGCCTCGAGGTGGTTGGTTGGGCGTTTTCTCCCTGGAGTATGCTTAGACCCGGAAGACTCAAGGCGTTGCTAGCCGCAGCAGCAGCATGCTATGCTGTCGGAGCGCTTTTGGCGGGCTTACACTCCTGGAGAGCTGGAGGGGCGAAGGGTGCGTACTCTGCTCGAGCTTCGCAGGACAGTTTACTGGCCGTCGTTGTGCCCATCTACGATGGCGACGAAGAACCGGCGATGGCCGCCCTATCCACATGGCCAACGACCTGCTACCACAGCACACTGACCCGTATGGACCTCGTAATATACAAGGCCGAAGCTCTCACAGATGAGGACCATCTCCCTCACATCCCACATGAGGCATCAAAATGCTTTCGGCACACCAAGATTATCGGAGGAGATATCATCCCAGAGGTGAGTGTCTTTTTCCCTTCCTTATCGAGATTATTGTAGCGTTGAGTACTCAACACAAAGACTACCGTTCATGTTTGACTGTTTCTGGTTGCATGCTGTACACTAGACCACTACAACGTCTCAAGGTCATGGAATCTGAAGGTATGGGGCTGTTCGACAGAAAAACCTCCAATTCTTCCGCCGGGCGTGGCGAATTCTACGAATCAAGAAAAAGAAAAACGGGATAATATATGTGCAACGTGTGGAGTGAAGGTGTTATGGAGTATGACCACCAATGGTTACATTTAATGTTCGATCACGATCGAATCGAAGTGGAGCCGGCGGGCTCACGAGATGCATCCGTCCGCAATTCTCTCTGGCTCCGATACCGCCGACACGGCATGTTTTTGGAGACATATTTGCATGGAACTCGTTTGCACGCGGCTAGGCTCGTATGATATTATTTGAGATCACTGAGGTGCCATTGCTGGAAAGGGAGGCAAGGTGTAGGCACTTGTGCTGCACTAAAGTAGCTTCTGCCACATCCGTATTGATGCATCGGAGTCGCCAACATCCCCGCGCCGAGCAAGGAGGCCTTCACAAATCTTTAGGCAATCTATACAATCAAGCACCCTTCCCAAGTGCATGAC